AAGGAGTTTTTTTTTCCCCCTTTGCTGGTACTTTCTTAAAGAGGAAGGGTTGTTTTAAGCTTTTTACACTGCTGTTGGGAGGAAATACTCCCCTGTTGGAGTTAGCACTTTGAACAAATAATTGAATAATGGAGCAGAGCTACCAAAAAGAAGCTTTTAATGACAAGGAACCAAGATGAGTGACATTCAGCAAGGCTTCTTGGCTAGCTAGAAAGATTGACATTCAAACGGGAGTTTACATACCCTTTCTGAGTTTTGGTCTAAAACTGGTGACCGTTCAAAGTTACAATGGCACTGAAAAAAGTGACTTTTGACCATTTTTCACACTTACGAACATTGCAACATCCCCACTGTCATAAGAGGCCAGGTGAGGAGAAGCGCCCCTTGATGTGAGTGACATTGAATTGGCCACGCCCACCCAGTCACATGATCAGGAAGCCATGCCCACCAACAAAGCCATGCCCACAGAACTGGTTGTTAAAAATATTGAATCCCACCCCTGCTTAAGCATAGTACACAAAATTATCTGCTACGATGTCCTACGAGTCAATGACTACTTCAGCTTCAACCGCAACAATACAAGAGCACACAACAGATACAAACTCGATGTTAACCGCTCCAAACTTGATTGCAGAAAGTACGACTTCAGCAACAGAGTGGTCAATGCCTGGAATGCACTACCTGACTCTGTTACATCCTCTATCCCCCACTCCTTTAACCTCAAACTATCCACTATTGACCTCACCCCATTCTTAAGAGGTCTGTAAGGGGCGTGCATAAGCGCACCATCGTGCCTACCGTCCCTGTCCTATTGTCCCCATTTAATCGTACCTATTTTCTGTATTCTTACTCATGTTTATACTTATACCTATTATTTTGTAAGTGATTGACAAATCAATCAATAAAATAATAAAATAAGAAACCATGGATGGAAACTCATCAAGGACAGAAGCAACCTGGAATTGAGGAGAAAGTTCTTCACAGTGAAGACAATTAGCCAGTGGAACAGCTTCCCCCCAGAAGCCTCGTGGGCGCTCCATGACTAGAGGCTTTTAAGAAGAGACTGGAGAAATATTTGCCTGGAATGCTATAGGCTCTCCTGCTTGAACAGGGGGGTGGACTAGGAGATCTCCAAGACCCTAAGTTAGATGAGTGAGGGAATGGAGCTGATGCCTTCCAAGCAGCCCTGTGGAATGCTGAAGGGAGGGACTCTCTGACCTGAACCCCCCCAACACCACCAAGGAAGGCCTGCAGCAAGCGGAGAGAGGAGGAAGAGGAGGAGGGGGGGGACACTATCAGAGGCCTCCCTCATTTCAAGGGAAGGGGCTCTTTAATGGCAGAGGAAAAAAGAGACGCCCCTCGAGGGCTAAAAGGAAAGTGAGGAGGGCTAGAAGGGACCTTGGGGGGTCATCCAGTCCAGCCCCCTGCCCAAGGCAGGAGACCTTATTCTAATCGAATCTCAGAATGGCCAAATGCAGCCCCCCTCGAGCTGGATATTGGGGGCAAAACCAATGGAGGATCCGAATGGACCTTGCTTTCCCACCTGGTTTAATGTGGCAGTCAGAACTGATGAATCTCAATGGGGCTCCGAGGGGCCTGTGTGTGAAGGAGATATGCTGCGGGGGGGACAGGGAAGCGTTGAGCAAGAGTTGGCTGAGTGAAGGCTGAATGCTGGGGGCAGGAAAACCTTCCTATCTCGGGCAAGAGCACCAATCTTTGGGAACTGGGCAGCCCAGCTGAGCCAGGCAGGAGGTCTAATGGTTTTGCAAAAGGTAAGGGGTGTGTGTGCGTGTGTGTGTGTGCGTGTGTTACAGCTGCCCCAGCTGAGCACCTTTTGGGAGGGGGGGGCAAATGCAACATAGGAATACCTTCCTCAGAGGACCTTCCACTGAAGACAGTGAGGTGGCCAAAAGTCAAGCCAGCTTGTTCCTGGAAGGCCCAGCTCACCAGGACATAAGCAAGCTATTAAACTGGGTGGCTCCCCAACATTCTTCATTTCCCAAAAATATCTTCCGTGGACAGAAAGCTGCTCCCAGAAGACAACCTCGGTTTCCTCTTGGCATTGGGTTTCTGCAGTTCTTGTGGCTGAGGCGGGCAGCACCACACAGCTGCCATTTCCATTGAAAATCCAGGCCACTGACGGGCATCCTAAGTTTAAAATGTTGTTGTTTTTCTGACGCAAGAACAATGTTTCCCTCTTGGGATGTCACCACAGGCAAGCCTGCTCTGTGGTTGCTTTGATGTGCACACTAAGAGTTGCAGATGGAGAGAAATACACCAGAATTTACTTGGGGTGGGAGTTGGTTGGTTGGTTTTGCTTTTGGGGTTTGCTCCAGAAAAAAATAAATCATTGCAATTCCATAAATAGGGGACAGACTTATTTTTTAACTAATGCAAAATTAGTAAGATTTTTATTTTTGCAAATGTCACTTTCATAATTTAATGAAATATTAGAACACACACCTTCCCTAACACTCCATTGAAGCCAATGAGGAATATAACATTCTAAATTGTTAAAAGGAACAGACTTACTTGCTAAGAGGAGGCAGCATATAAATGAATGAAAGAAATAACAGTCACAAATAATCCTAAAATAAATTAATTTATACACTGGAGCACAGGACAATGCACGGTGGACTTTAGCAAAAAGTTCGTTTCAGAAGATCGGTTTGTGATGGCAGTGAATCTGGAAGCAACCCCACCCTGGGTTCTTTTCCTGCTATTGTTGGAAGGTTGCTTTATTTTGCCCCCCCCGCCCCCCCCCCCCCCCCCCCGAGAAAAACATTTTTTTTTTTTAAGAGCCACAGAGCAATTCTGAGAGGCCCGGAGGCGGCGGCTGGCCAGTTGAATTAGCCTATTTCAGCACAGTTAGAGGGGAGGGTTCCAAGGCAGAGGCAGAGGCGAAGTGGATGCAGAATCACCCGCTGCTTGTGCAGCTCAGTTCCAAATGGGCCACAACCCAGTAGTGGTTGGGGATCCCTGCTTTAGAGGTCTTCTAGTCCAACCCTTTGCACAAGCAGGAGACCCTACACCATTGCAGACAAATGGCTGTCCAGTCTTTTCTTAAACATCTCCAGTGATGGAGGAAGTCCATTCTAATGATTAATCGTTTAATCAACAATTGATCAAGTGTTAACTGTCAATGAATTGGGACACGTCTTTTATACATACAGACTGGATAAAAGGACAGAGGTGGTTCACTTTTTACCATTCAGATGCTGAGTTGGGGAGGAAATTGGATTTATGAAAAATCTGATCCACTCAGGACCTCCCCCCTCCCAGCAATGGTGATGCCCAGCATGGCCCAGTGCCCCCAGTCAAGGGCCAGTCCTTTGCCTTCACCCTCTGTCAAGTGAGCCCTTCCTCCCCAGGGGTGGGCAAAGGCCCTGTGCCCGGGGGTGGCCTCTGTGGCCCTCTCCTTGGGCTGGGGGCCAAGCAGTCCTGAAGCCCCAGGGCTCTGCAAGAGGTTTGCTAGTTCCCAGACTCCCCTTCCCCAAATCCCAAGAAATGCACAACTCCCCCACCCCACGACTTCAGAGCCTGGAGCTGCCTGAGCTGAAACCAGCCAGATCAGCTGCTGGGACAGGCCAGGGGGCTGCTCTCCTCTTAGCAGGCAGGGCCACCCTCCACCCTCTGCAGAAGTAGCAGGCAAGAGCCCATTGCAGCCCCCTCCCCAGTCCTGCTTCTGGAGACAGCAGTTTCCGGTGGTAGGGAGGTCAGAGTTGCCCCCCCCCCCCATGTCGACCCCACACCCCCTGCAGAGGCTCCTTCTCAGCCCAGCCAAGGGAAGGGGGGGGGCTTTCATTAACTTCTCAGTGGCACTTTGGAACCTTCCACCCACCCACCCCGTTGCCATTTGTGCATTGGAAAGACACAACCGGCCCTGCGCCCCCCCCCACCGCCCCCCCCCCCCCCCCCGGCCCCCCCCCCCCCCCCCCCCTTCCCACCAGGCTGAACCCAGTTCATGGGGGGAGGGCGGGAGGGCCCCGCTCTGCCAGAGAGGATCCGCAGGGAAAGGCAGCCAGTGCAAGAGGGGAGGCTGGCAAGGGAGCAGCTGCGCTTCCCGGATTGTCCCGGCGAGTTTCAGTAAGTCAGCAGTTCGGCAGGGCGGGAACAGGCTCGACCAGATTCCGCTCCCGCTCCGCTTGCAGCCTCCGCGGCTGGCCAGAGTCACCCCAGGTGGCTGCTTACACCTGCTGAGGATTGGGGGGGGGGACCCACCTCCCTCCCCGTGCGACCCCCGCCAGCCAGCCTCCCGCGGGGCTTGGAGGGAAGGCAGCGCCCAGGGGGAGGGCGGCTGATGGGCCCCTCCGCGCCCGATCCTCAGCGGGCCCAAATGGCGTTGCCACTGAGGGCCGCTGCCGTCAATTGGGCGGCGTGGGAAAGAGCCATCCAGCGCAGGCCCCGAGCGACAGCCGCCGCCTTTCGGGCAGTGAGCAGCGGGGCCCTTGTGAGATCCTCCCCTCGGTCCTCTGGGTTTTCTTTCCGCCCCCAACTGGAGAATCAGCCGCCCCCTTTCCGCGGGGTCCATACGGCTCTTAACCCCGGCGGAGGAAAGGCCCCGCCTGGCCACCTCCGCCCCCCTTCCGCCAAATGGGGAACCCAGGAGGGGCTGCTTCTACCGCGGCCCACGCACGGCAAGGGCTGCGCACCACAAACCCCCCGCGCCGCCTGGAGAGGGGCTGCGCCCGGAGCTCCCAGGGAGCGACCCGGCCCGGGCCTCCATGCGGCAGGCTGCGAGGCGGGGACCGCGGACCCCCAGGGGCCCCGGAGGCTGCACCTGCCCGGCTTTCGGGCTTCCTTCTGGGCAGGGCGGGAGGGCCGGCGCGCCCCGGAGAGCTTCCCTCGGACCCCTTGCCTGCCCCAGACGAGGCCCCGCCGGGAAAGGAAGCCTCGCGGAGCATTGGCCCCCGCTGCCCCCGCCGAAGCGCTCCAGCACCGGCCGTCCCTCCGAGGAGAGGCGGCCGTCGCGCGCGCCTGCCTCGCCCGACGGGACTCACCCAGGTTGACGAAGCTCATGACGGTGTCGGCGCCGTCGGCGGTCCGGCTCGGCGCGGGGCCGTCCTCGGCGTCGTCCTGGCGGGCCAGGGCGCGGTAGAGGCCCAGCATGAAGAGCGGCGCGGCGGCGGGCGGCGGGGCGGGACGGCGCGGGCGCGCCTTGCGGGGCGAGGGCGGCGGGCGGCGGGGTCCGC